TCAGATTGAAATGACGCATTTTCAACTTTCACGAGTGCAGTTTAATAGCCGCATTGGCTTGCATTTGTTATGCACAGCACGTGCATGATACCACTGGTTAGGTGCAGGCGTGTGTTGACGTTCACCGCCTTTAATATTCTACTGACACGTTTTGCCAGTTTCATTAAGCAGTGTGACATGTCATATGCACGAATAACTTTGCCAACTACCAATAGAGGCTTGTAGGCATATATTCATGTATGACGCCAAACACACATAGGTGAAGTTCTAATCAGTATATTTTAACATGAGTGAGTGAGTGAGTTTAGCAATATTCCAGCTATATAGCGGAGGTCTGTAAATAATCGAGTCTGGACCAGACAATATTCCAGTGATCAACAGCATGAACATCGATCCACGCACTTGGGATACGATGACATGTGTCAACCAAGTCAGCGAGCCTGACCAATCCGATCCCGTTAGTCGCCTCTTACGACAAACATGGGTTACTGAATATCAATTCTAATTAACCCGGATCTTCACGGGTTCAGACCAATTGAGGTTTGTAGGCATATATTCATGTATGACGCCCAACACACATAGGTGATGTTCTAATGATGACGCTGAGTATATTTTAACATGAGTGAGTGAGTGAGGGAGCGAGGGAGTCACCGCTTATGACAAGAATGGGTTACTGAAGATCACGTGAAATTTATTCATCTTAGTATAAAAGTTGTTTTACAAACGATCATAGATTCAAATCGCTATTATTTGTTTGCATTACAAGGGGGTTAGCACAGTAGTTGGAACAGTGAAACAAATGCACGCGCGGTACGTGGAAAGCGTTAACTTAGACCACACCTACTTGTTCTCGGTGTTTCATTTAATGTACATACCCCCTTGTAATACAACCCAATAATAGCGATTTGAATCTATGATCGTTTGTAAAACAACTTTTATCCTAAGATGAATAAAATTTTGAGATTTAAATGGTCAATTGGCAAGGTAAAATTATTAGGATTCGCAATTTTAATTTCACTTTATTTGATTTACTTTTTTGTTTAAAGTGAAATTCATCGGTACGTTTTCACTGCAAAAAGACTATAACTTGGGGGAACCAACTGCAAACGTTATGCAGCTGAATTGCATGAGGATCATGCATCAAAGGCATGTGCAAATATCGTGCATGTGAACAGCTGTGTTATGGTGTAAAGTTTGTTGAGAATTCGCCATTTTTCGCTGATATTCATCACTTACTGAACTCATGACACTAATCTTTTCAACGTTACGAATTTGTTTTACAATACATCAGTTAATGTGTAAACAGTTACTTTAAACAGTATGGAATATTTTGCAAACTTTAGTTTAGAACAGTTGCCTGAAGTAAGTGGCTATATTTACACTAGTGAGTCTAAACATTTGATGAGAAGTAAAGTTAAATCTTGTGGTTGTTGTGCCGAAACAGTACCACCATCCATTATCTGTTGTTATAGCGCTGATACGGATCTAACCATCGACCTTTGAGCAATATTCCAGCAATATCACGACCAGAAATGGGCTTCACACATTGTACCCTTGTGGGGAATCGAACCCGGGTCTTCGGCGTGACGAGCGAACGTTGTAACCACTAGGCTACCCCAACCCCCCAGACATATATAGAAAGACACACGATGTACCATCGGTTATGTGGGCGCGTATTGTGACTAAATGACTAAGGAAGCCGATAGGTCTGGCAAAAATGACACATTACAGTCAGTCCTTTCGATAAGCCACGGCCGCAGTATATGATGTGTAACAGTTGCAGATTCGTCGCAGTCTCAGACCCGCTGCAGTTACAGATGCGACAGTACAGAAGGAGTCTATATGTGTTTCAGTAAGTCAATCTACGAATGTGTCTCGCTGTCAATCTACGAATGTGTCTCGCTGTCAACCTACGATGTTACTCGCTGTCAGTCTAAGAAATCAATGTATCGCGCTATCAATCTACGAATTGTTCTTACAGTCAATCGATTAATGTTTATCGCTGTCAATCTACGAATGTTTCTAACAGTCAATCTACGAGTGTCTCCTGCTGTCAATCTATGAATGTCTAGTCAATCTACGTATGTCTCTTACAGTCAATCTACGAGTGTCTCCTGCTGTCAATCTATGAATGTCTAGTCAATCTACGAATGTTTCTAACAGTCAATCAACGAGTGTCTCCTGCTGTCAATCTATGAATGTTTAGTCAATCTACGAATGTCTCTTACAGTCAATCTACGAATGTCTCTAACAGTCAATCAAGGAGTGTCTCCTGCTGTCAATCTATGAATGTCTCTTACAGTCAATCAACGAATGTCTCCTGCTGTCAATCTATGAATGTCTGGTCAACATACGAATGTATCTTGACTTGAATGTATCTTACAGTTAATCCACGAATGTCACATACAGTCAATCTACGAATGTCACCTGCTGTCAGTCTACGATTGTCTCTCGCTGTCAATCTACGAATGCATTTTACAGTTAATCTACGAATGTCTGCTACGCTCAATCTACGAATGTCTAGCTGTCAGTCTACGAATGTCTCTCACTGTCGATATACGAATGTCTCTCAATGTCAGTCTACGAATGTCTCCTGTTGTCAGTCTACGAATGTATCTTACAGTTAATCTACGAATGTCTGTTACACTCAATCTACGAATGCCTCCCGCTGTCAGTCAACGAATGTCTCCTGTTGTCACTCTACGAATGTCTTTCATTATCAATCTACGAATGTTTCTCACTGTCGATCTACGAATGTCTCCCGTTGTCAATCTGCGAATGTCTCTCGTCAATCTACGGATGTCTCGTGCTACCAATCTACGAACCCTCTCGCTGTCAATCTACAAATGTCTCGGCTGTTTCGAATGTACGAAGTTGTGTATCTCCGAATGTGTTTTGCTGTCATTTTGCGACGTTCAATCGCTATCTACGAATGTTCCTTTTAGATCTTTCAGTCTGCGAATGTCTCGTGCCTAACTACAAACGTCTCCAGCTATCGATATTCGTTGATTGTCAGAAGTTTTCCGCCCCTACTCTGTACGTACGCTTATGTACAACCAATCGATTCATCCCAGGAATCAGGAACTAAGATTATATGTTTATTGGGCACGTGTTATATATTTAACTCTAACCGTTTGATTATGTCGTAAAAGCGTCTGTGATTGTAGCGGTACTGTGATGGTGAGGCGTCCTTTGTTGTAATGTGCCTATGACGGGTGTCCGTTTGTAATACGTCAGTATCTTTGACCTCTATGTGATTATGACGCGTCTGAGCCTGTAACACTATATCTGACCGTCGCGCGTATCATTGTGACGCTCCCGAGGCTGTGACGAGTCTGCGATTGCGATGCGAAGCGATTATAACGCGCCTGTTATTGGAAACGTATAAGACGGTAACGTATTTATCATCATGCGGCGTCGGAGACTACAACGATGTAGACTGTAACGAGTACATAGCTTTATTGTAGCGGTAACTGTATCGTCGTAGACTTAATGAGTATATAGTTATATTGCACCGGTAACTGTAACGATATAGACTGTAACGAGTATATGGTTATATTGCACCGGTAACGGTACCGTCGTAGACTTAATAAATATCTGGTTATATTGCACCAGTAACTGTAACGACGTAGACTATAACGAGTATATGTTTATATTATAGCGGTAACTGTAACGATGTAGACTGTAACAAATATATGTTTATATTGTACCGGTAACTGTAACGATATAGACTGTAACGAGTAAATGGTAATATTGTACCGGTAACTGTAATGATGTAGACTGTAATATATGTTTATATTGTACCGGTAACTGTAGCGATATAGACTTTAACAAATATATGTTTATATTGTACCGGTAACTGTAACGAATATATGGTAATATTATACCGGTAACTGTAACGATGTAGACTGTATCAAATCTATGGTAATGTTGTACCCGTAAGTGTAGCGATGTGGACTGTAACAAGAATATGATGATAATACTACGAAACTATACCGAATCTGTGACCGTAATCTGGTAATGCACTTGCGACAATTACGCATCTAAATCTTACGCGTAATTTCTGCAACGCATTTCTGACTCTTACTTCACCTCTTAGCAGACAGCGTCTGTAATTCGTCAAACCAGACCAGCCTTTACTTTAACTTACACAGGTTTCACAAACAACATTAGCACCGATACGTACAAATATCCTCGACAAATGGCAGTGATTGTACAAAATGTGCCATGTAAAGTAAAGATTTATTTTACAAAGAAAATCCTTGGCAAACATTTGCCTCAAGGTTACAGACATATAATTATGTCACTTGTTGATGTTAATGGTCTCTTAAAAGATCGTTTGAAGTCCAGCAGTACATAAGATAAATTATTAACCAGATGACAGTGCCATATGTCACCGTGGTATAAACTTAATTAAATTAAACTTAATGAAATAAATTGATTAATTTTGAATGTTCTTTCCAAGAACATGATACTTCGAATTCCCTCAAAGTTTATTATCGTTAATATAAGTAAAACCTACAGCTATCGCAATACACTTTCCGTTCAGTTAATTGGCACGAATGTACACACACAAAAAACAAACACTTTAAGTGTTAAATGTGCTTTGTTTTCCGAGGCAAGGATCCCTTCAGTGTTATTCCACTGGGACCATAAGTGCTGTGACAAAAGATAAAACGCATGACGCTCGTACTGATTTTTGACAGTTTTTTTTCAGGATAATGCCATAACACGTACGTAAAACAGTAAGTGGATGGCATCAGCTCCAAGCAGCGCGGGTGACTGACAGGCAGTGACAGATGAAGCTGTGAGAGCGACAAGCTCCGAACAGCGCTGTGTCTCGCGCTAGCCTCAACCCACCCACCTAGTGCTCGTCACATGTGCGATCGATCGTTTCAGTGATGTTCGAGGAAAGTTAATATTATAATGGTATAATCGGAAAGAGGGCGGGGCGACGATAGGGGGGCGGAGGAAGCCAGGCTATATGTATTTGCGGCTGCACGTGAGGCCCGTGTAGTGAGGGGTCGACTTAATACCTGTGCTGTGACTCCCGTATAACAGTCTTCATACTGCCCGTGGGGACCGTTTCATGAGAGATATAGTTTTGTGAGATCACAATGAAATCCTGGTCCCAGGTTCTACTCTGGGGAGCTTGTCTTTTCTACATGGGAGTAGCCGATATTTCTGAAGCAACGGTAAGTGACTGTGTACAGTGTTGCTTTAAGGTTCTCGTACAATACCGAAATCAGATTTGATAATCTTTACAGCACATATACATCTATTTGATCCGAGTTGAGTTTCTTGTTCTGTACTCGTATATGTTTGACCCTCAAACTCACAGACATCCAGATTATGATGATGCTTTCAAAGGAATTTAGGTTTGGATGAAGTTTGAAAGAATGTTGGCATGATCGGTCGAATAACGGTAAATGTTTTTACGAAGTAATTAGGGAATTTATAACGGTTCGTACTAAAACGGTTCATTCCGATGTCAAAAGGGTGCGCAAAGTAACTTAAACGGGTTGGCAATTCATTATCTTGTTGAGTTATAATTGAGTTATATAAGTTAATAATGTTTAACTCACTCTGCGATATAGGCTAAGGTTTACTCTGTCACCTGAGGTATTGTCATGCCATTGTAAACTTTAATCAATATACCGATTTAAACTATTCATTGAATATCTGCTTCAATAGTAATAAAAGCACTGGTGTATTGCATGGGGAATGACGGATTTCTATGCATGTTGTTACTATATGGATATCAACTGTGAATAGTGCTCGCTTCAGCAGTGAATAGGTGAACTGACAAAGATACAGATCGACAATATACGGTTACCTTAATGTGTCTCATAGCGAATAGATGTCATTTGAAAGGTGAATTATTTATTCACATTTGAATAGACTGGCGTTGCAATGGAAGAATATGGATATTCTTGACAATGCCACTGCGCCCAATCCCAAGTAAATATTGAATGCACGATACAATGTTTTTTGACAATGCCACTGCGCCCAATCCCAGTAAATATTACTGAATGCACGATACCATTTTCATGAATCGGGTGAGATGTATATGACATAATAATATCAGCGTGAATAGGCTCCCGTGTAGGTTATCCATGAACCCTGGGACGAAGGGGTAGTCTAGTGGTTAAAATCGTTCGCTCGCCACGCCGGAGACCCGGGTTCGATTCCCCACAATAGTACAATATGTGAAGCCCATTTCTGGTGTCCCCAGCTGTGATATTGCTAGAATATTGCTAAACGCGGCCTAAAACTAAACTCACTCACCAATCATGCATCCCCAAAAAAGGAAAACTGATCCTCGTGAAATGCAATTGCCACGGCAACAGATAAAAGTAAATGAAAAGCTTAAAATATCTGCGATAAGGTGAATTATTTGACTGATAGTTGATTTAATTCCTCTTTCTGGTACATGAGTGTTGACTAGATCTGGGTTTTTTTTAAACTGGAAGTACTGTTCCCTTGAAATGAAGCATATATATCTGCAATGTTCGAATTTCACTAAATCGTAAAAACGGATGATGAGATTTATTTGGTTGAGGTCATTGCTCTTTGTGATGAATACCTGGAGTTGACGTTGAAAACGTTGTTTCCTTGAGGTGGTGAGGTGAAATTGGGTTTTACGTCGTGCTTGAGAATATTTCGCTCATATGACGACGTACATGCGTGTGTATGTGTATGTGCGGCTGCTTGTACTAGCCCAGACTGAAGCTGGTTTTACAGTGCTAGCCCACTGAGATACCATGCCACAGTGAAGCATGGATACCCCACTCAGACACATTATACTGACTCCGAGCCGACCAGTCCTTGATGTACCGATTAATGCCGAGCGCCAGGCAGGGACCAACAAGTACCATATTTTAACGTCTTTTGGTATGACGCGGTCGGGGATCGAACCCGCGACCTTCCGCTCTCCGGGCGGACGCTCTAACCACTACACCACGGAGACGGTATTTGTTTCCTTGAAATGAGGGCTATATAAATATATTTTTCGAAACTGACGAAATTGAAAAACGGCTGTTTAGTGTAATGGGGCGTCTTGGGCAAGTGGGTATTGGCTATTTAAGTTCTTTGTTAAAACTGATATTTCATAATCCATCGACAAGTCAATCGTAGTCTTCGACATTTAATGTTAAACACTACGGGTGGCCCAGTGGTCCAAGGCAATATATCCGGTTTACAGAGCTGTTGTGGGTTTGAATCTCGGTTTGTCCTGATCACGTTGATAAACGTCCAATATGTGCAGAAGTTCGGCATTTCTTTTTTCATTAAGTTGAAACGTCGTGGCGTAACTGGAATACTATTCAAAGCGGCATTACACCCCACTCAGTCACTCACTTAATACAGTCTGCCTAGGCTAGAACTGTCAACCTATGTTGATCATAAGATGTGATTTCATGTATCGGGTAGCAAAGCTGGGTAAAGTGGTTGGCAGGGTACCATCGTATACCCACGGCTGGGATCTTTGCTCGTAATATCAATCACTAGCTTGTCTGATGTCGATTACATGCCGCCGCACGGGGCGATGGTGTAGCCTAGTTGCCGAAGACCCGGGTTCGATTCTCCACATGGGTACAATGTGCGAAGCCCAATTCTGTTGTCCCCCGCCGTGCTTTTGCTGGAATATTGCTACAAGCGGCGTAAAACTAAACTCACTCACTCACATGCCGCCGCCATACAGCTGGGCTATTGCTTAGTGCCGCGCCATAAAAAAAATGCAGACACCTGATACTTTGCTAGTACTCAACGATAAAGAGTCAGTTGTCATGACAGCTGTAAAAAATATTATTGATTTAGTAGCACTGTTTTTATCACAAACATTCTACCGATGTTCACTTTTAAACGTCATGGATGCTCTGATTCAGCAATCATCGGACGGTCATCATTTTGCAACCGAAAGGATGATGGTTTTCTAACCAGCACATTCGTCACCCGCTGTTATACCAGCCTGTCAATGTATGAAGGATATTAACAACATCGGTAATACATTGGTAGTTCCGTCCTGTCGATAATGAAGTAGCGAGTATTTGAAACTGACACATGTATATTTCATCAGCTGGCCACGTTACAATAGGCATAATCCAATTTGCTTCAATTTGCGCTGATGTTTTTGAGAAATTCCCCACGGGTATCGTCACATTTAGCGATCGTGAATTAATTTGGCGCTGCAATACTGGAAGTAATTGAACAATTTCAGTAGCAGAGTTAATGTTTGTTAAATTAACTCTCACTCAAAGAAGCTTGCAAAAACGAGAATTCTAAAGATACACCCTGGGGGCCGTATAGATATATTCATAGACACTCGTATATGTTCTTCCCTGGGATGACATAAAAGAAGGATGGTAATGGGCTAAAAGATCGATATGAATGGTTTAACTGAAGACGTTATTACCTCATTATCGTTTGACCAACCTACATGTACTGCGCTTAAAATGATGAAATTGACACAATCACGTCGACATCTTTAAATATTTATTTCCATATCATTTTCGCAAGCGATATGTCTACGCATGAATCTATGGCAACGTTACATCAAACCCGAATGCAAGACAGTATGATTTTTTTTGTTTTAGCTAACACCCCCACACACACACCCACAAACACCAAATTGTTTAGTCCCTTAAGAAGTTCACACCATCTTCGAAATATAGCAAAATGATATCGTACCTATCTGCTTAGGCGGGCGAAAGTGTTTGCTTCTCACACCAGTCACCGGGTTCGAACCATGAACCCGTGAAGATCCGGGTTAGATTTGGTCTTCAGTAACCCATGCTTGTCGTAAGAGGCGAGTAACGGGATCGGGTGGTCAGGCTCGCTGACTTAGTTGATAGATCTCATCGTATCCCAATAACGTAGATCGATGCTCATGCTGTTGATCACTGGATTGTCTGGTCCAGAATCGATTCTTTACAGACCGCCGCCATATAGCTGGAATATCGTTAATTGCGGCGTAAGACAACCAACCAACCAACCAACCAAATGTGCATGACCTTAACCTCACTCAAACACCTGTACGAAAGTGATGACTGATAATCCATTTGATGCTTGAGAGCTCCATGCAGTGATGTAGTATTCGAAGCCTCGTCTGTGGCAGTACAATACCATGGCGAGGCAGGTAAGAACGTTTTGAAAAGCTTGGCAATGAGTTTGTCGGGTTTCAGCATAGGTTGCAACCGGTTGACACGCAAAAACACCTTCGTGAAAAGTCACCACGGATGCGAGGAACGGACCCAGTATTTTTGACAGGTGTTCTGTCTTTGCGCGCGGAACACGTGCGCAGCGTAAACACATTGCAACAATGTGCACCATTGTGGCACGAGCGACAACGTCACCTTGATACAATAACTGCATCAGTTGTGATCACTGATCACATCTGATCACATAGAACCTCGGCTTGCTATCAATCATGCGACTATTTGAATACAACAGTTTTGATCATGACAGAGAGGTCTTGACTACTCCGTGCGTGTAAGTCGTTATGCATGTTATCATACCATATAGGGACAATATTACCCTGTTGCCATGACAATTACATCCAGGAATACTTCGTTAATCACGCCAATCGCCAACAATCGTCCAGTGAACATGTTTCGGAGCCAAAGTTATGTCCTAGCAATTATGGTTAGATTTGGAAGTGTTCGGTTTGACAGGGTCACAGTATTCAAATGAGTCTAAAGTAAGATCCTTTCAACAGTATCACATTCATATCACTTTGTGTCAGTTTATGGTTGCACGTGGCTGTGAATTGTGGTAAAAGCGTCAGACCCTGGATCTGCAAGCTCGCTTTTTGGTCGTGAACAGAACTCTCACTCCGAACTGTCTCTTTCTCCCTTCTTTCTCCTCCTCTCTCTCCCTCACTTTCTCTTCTCTCTCCTCTCTCTCTCTCTCTCATCCTTTCTCTCTCTTCTCTCTCTCTCTCCCCTTCTCTCTCTCTCTCTCTCCTTTCTCTTCTCTCTCTCCTCACTTCTCTCTCCTTTCTCTCTCTCTCTTTCTCCCTTTCTCTCTCTCTTTCTCCTCTTCTCTCTCTCTCTCTCTCTCTCTCTCTCTCTCTCTCTCCCCCTTTCTCTCTCTCTCTCCTCCCTTCTCTTCTCTCTCCTCCCTTTCTCTTCTCTCTCTCCTCCTTTCTCTTCTCTCTCTCCTCCTTTCTCTTCTCTCTCTCTCTCACCTCCTCTCT